GGGAAGAAGCACCAAGAGCTCTTTTTTTATATATCTATATATATATATTTATTTATTTATCTATTTATCTATTTATTTAATTTAGGGTTTAGCACGGCCCACAGGGCGCTGCAAAGGCGGCTCGGGCAGGGCAGAGCAGGGCGCTAGCGCGCGCAGGGCAGGGCGCTGGCGGGTTGGCAGGGCAGGGCGCTTGCGTGGGCAGCAGCGCGCACGGGCAGGGTGGCGCTGGGCAGCGCGTGCAGGCCCACGGCGGGCGCAAAACGCAGGCACGGCGGGCGCAAGGGGCGAGCCCCCGGCGGGCGTAGCGGACAGGTGCGGCGGCACGAAGGCAGGGCCCGCGGCGGGCCTAACGGGCGGGTGCGGCAGCGGGCCTAACGGGCAGGCGCGGCGGGGCGAAGAAAGGGCCCGCGGCTGGCCTAACGGGCAGGCGGTAGGGCGCGACGCGCAGGGCAGCAGGGCGCTACGCGCGGGCTGTAGAAGAGCGCGACGCGCGGGGCAGCAAAGTGCGACGCGCGGGCTCCAGCAGGGCGCGACGCGCATGGCAGCAGGGCACGGGGCAGGGCAGGGCGTGCGCGAGGCAGCGCGACACGGGCCAGGGCAGGGCGTGCGCAATGCAGCGCGACGCAGGGCAGGGCTGGGCTTGCGTGATGCAGCGCAACACGGGGCAGGGCAGGGCGTGCGCGGGGCAGCGCGACGCAGGGTAGGGCAGGGCGTGCGCGGGGCAGCGCGACGCGGGGGAGGGCAGGGCGTGCGCGGGGCAGTGCAACGCGGGGCAGGGCAGGGCATGCGCGGGGCAGCGCGACGCGGGGCAGGGCAGGGCGTGCGCGAGGCAGCGTGACGCGGGGCAGGGCAGGGCGTGCGCGAGGCAGCGCAACGCGAGGCAGGGCAGGGCGTGCACGGGCAGTGTGACGCAAGGCAGGGCAGGGCAGGGCGCGCACTGACGGCGCAGCGTAGGGCAGGGCATGGGGTAACGGGGTAACCGCAGCCGATCACTAAGTAATGGTGGGCCCGAAAAAAAAACAACGGTTCTAAACTAGGACCTGCTCTGAAACCATGTCAAAATAACGAACAGGGATGAATGAATTCACAGCAGGATGGGTACAAGTAGGAAACCCTAATTTAGGTTGTACCCCATATGGGCTACCCCACTACAGCCTAAACAACAAGCAGCATATATGTTTGACAAAGCGGGTCGCGGAATGCGGAGACGAAGGGATGGGGATGAGGGGCAGTAATGGGAAGTGGGGAAACGGAGGTGAGAACTTGTGCGGGAAGGGGGTGAGATCAATTTACGCGTGGAATTTGCTAGATCTTTGAGAATTGAATAGAAGACTCTTCCGCGGAAGGGGGTCCGCCATGTCTTCCACCACTTCCGCCATCGCCGCGGGGGGCCCAGCCGTCAGAATATAATGCTTGTCTAGTCTGTAGTGGGGTACTCAATAGTAAGTATAACCCTTTTAGGGCTTGCTATTTGTACCTCCCTCCTTTCTAGTCAAAACCCTCTTCTCATCTTTTGCCTATTCTCTCTTGTCTAGCTAGCTAAACCCTATCTATGGCTCCTTCATTCTAACTACTGTGTCTGACATGCTATCAGAGCAAGTACGCTCCTGGCCTATGGGCCCACATGCTTCCGCTGCTATCCTGTCTGTCGCGCGCCCTGTAGCATGCGACGTTTATTCTTCCCGCCACGCGCTCGGGGCGCATGGCGGTTCTCTGCCCGCCGCGTGCTCAGGGCGCGCGGCGGTTTTCTGCCCGCCGTGCGCCCCGTGGCGTGTGGTGGTTTACTGCCGCGCGTCCTTCCCCTTCGACCGTCGCGTCACCCCGGGGACCCGCGCGTCCCTCCCCGTCGACCGTCGCGCCGCCCCTGGAGAACCGCGCTTCCCCCCCGTCGACCATCGCTTCCTCCTGGGAACCCGCGCGCGCCCCCCACGATCCCGTCGCGTTGCCCTAGGGACCCGCGCGCGGCCCCCGCCATCCCGGCGCGCCACCCCGTGGGACCCGTGCGCCACCCCCGTGGACCCGCCCGTCGCCCTGCGGCCACCCCTCCCCGCACACCTGAGTTCGCTTACCGCACACCCGAGTTCGCTTCCCGCACGCTTGTGCACGCTTCGCGCACACCTGAGCTCACTTACCGCACACTCAGGGTATGGGGGTGACGGGTATGGGGGTGGCGGGTGTGTGAGCTGTCCCTTGCTCCTCCTTCTCCTCCGTCTCCCGCTGCTGCAGCTGCCGCTGAGGGGGGTGGGTGTGTGGGAGCCGAGGGAGTGGTGCTAGGGGGATGACGTGGGAGTGGAGCTCGGGGTACAGCAGGGGGTGTGTGAAAAGGGGTGGGACAGTTCGGGGAGGTTGAGCGGAGGTAGACGTCGTGTCGCCAGCAGCGCCAGTAGTCCGGAGGCTACAGTCTCCGGTAGTCGCCAGTCGCCCGTGGGTCAGATGCTCCAGCCTCGGCGTAGTTTGAGCCATTTTCTTTGGTAGCCACTGAGCCAGCTGCTCCTGTGACAGCTTCCGCTATCGCCTCCCATCTCCTCTCCTCTCACAGTCCCTCCTCCTCCTCACTTGCCCTTTGTGAATGCCTCTAGGTTTGCTTGTACTTGTGAACCTGCTCTGTGACTACTTGCTGTGCTGATTATACCTCACTTTGACTATGGGGGTGTGTCAAAATATAATGCTGGTCTGATCTATGGTGGGACACTCAATAGTGAGTATAACCCTTTTAGGGCTTGCTATTTGTACCTCCCTCCTTTCTAGTCAAAACCCTCTTCTCCTCTTTCGTTGTTCAGGATCCGTCACTTTGAGAGCTTACGACGAACTCATTACTCAATTAAACGCAAATCCGCTCGGCAGGAAGTTGCGCCTTAGGCTTATCTACCATCTCCAAGTTGAATCAGTCGTTAAGATGGTATAGAGAGTGAGAACCATATGAAAACGTCCAGCAGCCGCATAACTAGTATGGTGGAGGAAGTACAAACATTAGGGCATAGAAAGTTGGAGTTGGGAACCTCCAAGAGAACCATGAGAGGGAAGGGGTTCTCCAAGAGCTAGGGAAGGATGGTAGCAACCTTCCTAGCAGCAAGGATGCAACCCTCATCATGAGGTCCTTGAGGTGTCACATGCAAAATCCAATCTAGTTGGATTTTGCCTAGGTGTTGCAACATTTGCAACCCATGCTAGAAACTTCTAGCCACCCCAATCCAAAAGTCAAAGTTGCCTTCCCTAACCACCCAACCAAAGATCCCTTTATAGTCATGTCCCAAGTAATCACCCAAATTAGATATATCCCCAAAAGGTAATAAGAAATCCAAGTCTTGGAAATCTTGTAACTTGGGCGATCTTGGTAGGAATAAGGTGATCTTGGTATCGTTGGAAAGCTCTGGATTTCTCCTGCACGATCAAGCATTTGAACATGGAGAAAAACACAGAGATGAAAATATCCAACAGCCATGCACAATGACATATGCTCATGCAAATCATGCAATCACAAATAGCACGAGCACTCGGCAGGACGTTAGGATGACATGAACTCAGAATGACGTGCATCCAAAAAACTCCCCCTCAGACTAATGGACTGCATGCACACACACTCACACAAATGCAAACTCTCATGCACACAATCACACATGCACTCACGACACTGCTGCCCACACTATTGCAATGCCATGCCACACATCTTAGCACACTTCCAATGTGCGCTCTCGGGAAGTCTCTTGGTGAGAAAATCTGCCGCCTGCTTGCTAGCCTTCACATGGTGAAGCTCAACAATCCTCTCCTTCACCATCTGCCTCATCCTGTACCACATAATCTTCATGTGCTTGTTCAGCCCATTCAGGAAAGGATTATTGGCCATGCCAAGAGCAACCTCGCTGTCGGAGAAAAGTGGTGTAGGTCCCTCCTGTTCAGCTCCCATGTCCTCCAGCAGCTTCCTCTGTCAAACTCATATGCTTTAGTCTGTGTAGGCTGTAGTGGGGTAGACAATATGGGGTACAACCATTTTAGGTTTTCCTACTTGTAACCACCTGCTTGCTAGTTCATCCATTCCTCATTTCTTCACATGGTATAGAGCAAGTTCCCTAGTGGGAACGCTTCTTAGGGCCCACCACTGAAATCGATTTATTTATTTTTTTCCGACCGGAGCGCAAGTCGCCTCTGCCCGAGGCGCGCCCGGTGGGCCGCCCTCTTGTCGTGTCCCCTGCCCTTAGCGGCGTGTCGCGCTCTCCTAGAGGCCCCTCTCACGGCCCCTCGCGCCACCCGTAGCGGCCCCGTCGCCACCCCTAGCGGCCCCGTCGCCACCCTATACGGCCCCGTCGCCGTCCTTTGCGGCCCCGTCACCGCCCTTCTAGACCCCTCGCGGCCCCTTCGCGGCCCCGTCGCCGCCCCTTACCGGCCCCGTCGCCGCCCTTCGAGGCCCCTCGCGGCCCCTTTGCGGCCCCGTCGCCGCCCCTATCGGCCCCGTAGCCGCCCTTCGCGGCCCCGTCGCCGCCCCTAGCGGCCCCGTCGCCGCCCTTCGCGGCCCCGTCGCCACCTCTAGCGGCCCCGTCGCCGCCCTTCGCGGCCCCGTCGCCGCCTCTAGCGTCCCCATCGCCGCCCTTCACGGCCCCTCGCGGCCTCTTCCAGGCCCAGTCGCCGCCCTTCTTGGCCTCGTTGCCACCCTTCCCGGCCCCTCCTCGGCTCCTCCGCCACCAGAAGCAGCCGCTGCCAGCAGCAGCCGCCACCAACAGCGGCTGACAGCAGTAGAAGCCGCCGACACCAGCGGGGGCCACCATCAGCAGCAGCCGTCGCCGCCGACAGCAGGAGCTGCCGCCGCGGTCGCGGCTCTGTCCCTGCCAACGCGCCTCGGCCTTGCCTCACCGCTTGCCGCCCCCACCTACCAGCCCTGGTGAGAGCACTGCCGAGCCACGCCTGCTATTGCTGCCCCTAGCCTGCTGCCACTGCTGTCATGTCTACCCCTAGTGTTCTAGTCTTTGATGCTGAGGGTCGGGCTGTTGACTTTGAGGTCTGGGTCGATGATCTATAGCTTTTCCTATAGTGCGATAGGAAGGACGGTCTCTTCCTGTTCGATCTCACGTCTGGCGCCTCTACTGCCCCTGCTGCCGATGCTGACAGTACTGTTCGCTCACAGTGGGCCACACGCGATGCTGCTGCCCGTCTTGCTGTGCGTAGTCACTTGCCGTCCACTGAGCGCGCGCACTTTAGTCAGTACAAGAGTGCTAAGACCTTCTACGACGCTGTAGTTGCACGCTACTCTTCCCCTGCCACTGCTGCCCTTATTAGCCTCATGTTGCCGTACCTGTTTCCTGACCTCGCCGCCTTTCCCACTGTCGCTGACCTCGTTACGCACCTTCGCACTAGTGACACCCACTACCGCGCTGCGCTTCCTATTGAGTTCTGCGCCTAGAACCCCCCCCCCCCCTGTACATCACCCTCTACTACATAGTCACCCGGCTCCCTAACACCCTTCGCTCGGTCACGGACCACTTTCTCTCTATTTGCCCCACCACACTCACCATTTACCTCCTCGAGGAGCGCCTCGTGGCAGCTGAGAAGAGTATAGTCGCTGTAGGAGCCTCTAGAGGTGACCCTCGTGCCCCTGTCTTTGAGGGGTGCTCCCCCTCCCCCCTTTTGCCCTCTGTTGCCTATGCTGCGGCCGTCGACTTCGTTGGCACCAAGTCAGTCGGTGCTGCGTCTGCCCCTAGCGGGCGACGCCGCACCGGCAAGGGCAAGGGGGGCAAGGGCGCAGGAGGGGCTGGCGGGGGCGGTGAAGGTGGCGGTCGAGGAGGCGGAGGGAGTGGGGGTGGTGGTGGGGATGGTGGCGGGGGTGGGGGCTTCGGTGGCGGCGGTGGCGGCGGAGGCAGCAGCGGCGGTGGCGGTGGGAGCGGAGGAGGAGGCGGTGGCGGCGGTGGCGGAGCTGGCGGCGGAGGAGGTGGAGCTAGTCAGGGTGGCTCTGCGCAGCGGGGCGGCTTCGGTGGTGGTCAGCGCCAGCACCAGCAGCGCACTCGTGAGACCCTGGCCCCCCAGCAGCATCGTGAGTGGTACGCTTCGCGTCAGCGGGGTGGGGGTACTGGTCCCTGTACCTACGTCCTGTGTACCGGCGACCATACGGGTGAGTAGTGCGGGGGCCCGCACCCCACCCAGCGCTCCTTCGGCCGCCTGACGAACGCCTGGCGTCTCTAGTTCCCTGACGCCACTGAGATCCCTCACAAGGGAGAGCTGCAGAGGTCGGGGGTTGCTATCTTTGATCTTGATTATGAAAGTAGTCAACTCCCTGCCGTTGACTGAAGCCTCGAGCCACGTAACGCGCCTTAAAGACAGGCGGAGATCCCGGCGGCTACTTCACCCTGAAAATCCACATGCCACTGACGATGTTCGCCCCATGTGGGGGAACCTCGTCGACGTACGTGCCTGTGGACTTCCAGGAAGCCATCTCTGCGTCCATGGCAGACTGCCAGTGAGAGGAGTAGGGACCCTCGATTGCCTCAGCGTACGATCGAGGAGTCGGGATGTCTGGTGCATCCGGGTCTCCCTCAAGGGCAATCAGCGTGGACACGAGATGAGGCAAAGCAGCAACAAAACACTGGAACTCCTCCTGCCTGTCCTCAAGGACGTCCGTGCTAAGAGCACACTCACCTCCGACGGACGGAGGACAGACAAACTCAGACTCAGCAACAAGACTAGCAGCGTAGTCTCGACGACAGCGAGCAGCAAAGTCAACAAGCTCAGCAACTAGGGCCGACGCAGCAGTGGACTCAAAGGAAGGGTCAGTGAGAACAGTAGCCAGGAGACGCGTGACAGTAGGACTGGCAGCACGAAAAGAGTCAGACAACGGGTCAACAAGAACAGGAAGAGAGGACTCCGGAGGAGGCGGGAATGGGACATGTAGAGGAGCTATGGAAGGATGCAGTGCCATCTGGTGTGTGCGTGGGACCGCAGGAGGACGCGGACGCGGAGCATGACCACTAGTGCGAGTAGCACGAATAGGCAACACAGGACGAGACGCAGGCTCACGACGCTCAGCAAGACCTCCACTAGGACTAGTGTAGGGAGAAGGAGCAGGCAGGGGGGAGGCGGGCTGTAACTGTGACCGCGACTGGACACTCTAAGGGAGGAGCAGGACCAGTAGAGGGCGGGAGACCAAGAACCTGCTCAAGGAGCGGAATGAAGTACGGGCGCGGCCGCGCAGCGCCTCCAGAACCAACGGGGAGAGCACCAGTACCCCCAGCGGTAGCACCAGCGCCAGTCGTACCTCTAGCTCCAACAGCGCCAACCACAGCACCCTCAGACGCACCAGCGCCTGCAGCACCTCCAGCGCCAACACCCCCAGCAGCTCCAGCTCCTGCAGCTCCAGTAGCTCCAGCTCCAGTAGGACCGTCAGCTCCAGTACCGCCAGCAGCTTCAGTAGTACGTCCAGCAGGACCAACTCCAGCAGCCCCAGCAGCACCCCCAGTCCCAGCTGCTCCAGTACCGTCATTACGAGCACCTCCAGGACAAGCAGCAACAGTAGCACCTCGAGCTCCAACAGTACGGCTCCAGCGCCGGGCAAACCACTCGCGCAGCTCCTGCGGAGAGAGTAGCTCCCACCTCGACGAAGAACCGCGAGAGGACACACGAGCAGACCCAGCACCCCCTGGCTCCGCAACCCCAGGCTCAACTCCCCCACGCTCAGCACCCCCAGGCTCAGCACCCCCAGATTCAACACCTCGAGGCTCAGCATCCCTAGACTCAGCACCCCCAGGCTCCGCACCCCTAGACTCAGCACCCCCAGGCTCCGTACCCCCAGGCTCAACACCTCTAGACACTGCACCCGCAGGCTCAGCACTTCTAGCAGCACCAGAGTCAACAGCTACCTCAACAGGCTCGACTGCGTCTACCTGGGACACACCTGACGGGGCAGGACCCTGAGGGGGGAGGGGGTCTACCGGGGGAGGACCGGGCGCAAGGAAGAGCGGCGGCGGGGGGAGGGGCGCAGTGCGGTAGGGGAAGATACGGTAGTAAGGCACCGACTTGTCAAAGGTGACGTCCTGGGAGGACAAAACACGGCGCGAGGTGGGGTGGTAAAACTGCCACCCAGGCACGTCAGGGGGGAAGCCAAGGAAGACGTAGGGAACAGCACGGGGGGAACGCTTGTCCGCAGACAAGTCGCGGACAAACGCCCGAGATCCCCAGACCCGAAACGCAGACGCATTGCCAACCTTCCCCGTCCACCACAAGGTGGGGGAGGTCTCTGGCAAGGAGACCCGGGGCTGAAGATTGAGCTCATGCGCTGCGAATTGAACCACAAACGGCCACAGAAAATGGGGGGCAGCCGCATGCATCATGGACGTACGAGCAACGTCCATGACCATGCCAATGCGGCGCTCAACAATCCGATTTTTCTGTGGAGAGGCCGGAAGCGTGAAGGTCTGGCGGATGCCCTGTGCACGATAGAAGGCTCCCAGACGGGTAGAGGAAAACTCCCCGCCTCTATCTGAGTGCAGACGCAGAATAGGAATGTCCGAGCCGAAACTCTCTCTGAGCTGGAGACGAGCTGCGCGGATCCAGTCAATCAACACCTCAGTGACGTCACCCTTGCTACGCAAGGGGAACACCATGGTGTAACGCGATTAGCTGTCAACCACCAACAGGAAGTAACGCTTGTGACTCTGGCCACGGACGCGGGCGGGGCCCCACACGTCCATGTGAAGAGTCTGCAGCGGAACCTCTGTCGGACGAAACTCGGAGGAGTGAGGGGCGGCGCGCTGCCGCCCCTCAACGCGGGGACGCAGGTAGGGAAAGGCCTCAGAGGTAGGGGAGGGAGGGACCGAGGGTGACCAGAGACAAGGACACTTGAGGCCATGCCTCGGAGTCGAGGCAGGGAGGGGTGACCAAGGCGGTGGTGCCAAAGGAGAGTCTGGAGGGACAGGAGACGACACGAGCAGGGAGCAGACTCAGGACCAGACCTGGACGCTGCAGCAAACACCTAACTCGATGCAGCTACCTGACCAGACGCAGCAATCGGAGGAGACTCAGTAGTCAGTGTATACAGGCTCGACCCCGGTCGACGGGTAAACGTGGCCAAGTGTCGGCCCGTCCGAGCACACGTACAGTGGGTCACTCGCTGACTCGCAGGAGTGAACTAGTCAACCCCCCGATCCTGTAGATCAGCACCACTCACCAAGTTCGTAGAGAACGAGGGGAGGTAAAGACCTGACAGGGTGCCAGAGGGGGCTGCCGGACACGGTAAGACAGTCGAGAAGCGAGCAAGGACAAGACCCCCAGAGGGGTCCGCCAGGGAGACCGCAACCGGCCGACTAAGCGGCAAAAGTGTGGTGCGGTCTTGAAAGAAGGAGCGGGAAGCACCCGAGTCAAGGGTGAAGGTGTGTAAGGCCTGAGCCAACGTAGTACCTGAGAGAGCAGACTCACCAGCACCTGGGGCTGCAGACGCACAAGCACCTAGAGCAGCAGCCTCACCAGCACCTAGAGCAGCAGCCTCAATGCCCGGGTCAGGCGGAACACACAAGTTACAGTCACCCTCATCACTAGTAGACACAGCATACATGGCAGCAAGAATAGCATCATAGTCAAGATCAAAGATAGCAACCCCCGCACTAGACAGCTCTCCCCAGCGAGGGATCTCAGTGGCGTCAGGGAACTGGTGACACCACGCGTCCGTCAGGCGGCCGAAGCAGCGCTGGGTGGAGTTCGGGCCATCGCACTGCTCACCAGGTCGGTCGCCGTTACGAAGGACGTAGGTGCAAGGACCAGTACCCCCACCTCGCTGACGCTTAGCGTACCACTCACGAAGCTGCTAGGGGGACGGGGTCTCACGACGGGGTCCCTGACTAAGCGAAGGGAGTCAGGGAGCCGGGTGACTATGTAGTAGAGGGTGATGTACATGGGGGGGGGGGGGGGGGGGGGGTTCTTGGCACAGAACTCAGCAGGAAGCGCATCGCAGTAGCGAGTGTCACTAGTGCAAAGGTGCGTAATGAGGTCAGCGTCTGTGGGAAAGGCAGCAAGGTCAGGGAACAGGTACGGCAGCATGAGGTGGCTAAGAGCAGCAGTGGCAGGGGACGAGTAGAGTGCAACTACAGCGTCGTACAAGGTAAGTGGCGACGTACAGCAAGACTGGCAACAGCATCGCATGTGGCCCACTGTGAGGGAACAGTGTTGTCAGCATTAGTAGGCGGGGCAAGAGAGGCACCAGAGGTGAGATCGAACAGGGAGAGTCGTCTGCCCTACCGCACTGTATGAACAGCTGGAGGTCATCGACCCAGACCTCAAAGTCAATAGCACGACCCTTAGCATCAAAGGTAAGGACACTAGGAGTAGCCATGACAGCAGGGGTCTAGCAGGGAGTGATCTCACCAGTCCGAGTGAGTAGGGTCGGGGCGCGCCGGTAGGAACAGGGCTGTAACTGCAGTGGCAGCAGCTCGGTAGTGACAATAGCAGCTCGACGGCAGGGCGGCTCGGCGGCACGGCTGCTGGGCAGCTCAGCGGCTCGGCGGCTCGGCTGCTGGGCGGCTCGGCGGCTCGACTGTTGGTCGGCTCGGCTGATGGGCGACTCGGCGGCTCGGCTGCTCGGCTGCTGGCTGGCTCGGCTCCTTGGCTGCTGGGCGGCTCAACGACGACGGGGCCGGTAGAGGCGGCGACGGGGCCGCGAAGGGCGGCGACGGGGCTGCTAGAGGCGGCGACAGGGCCGCGAAGAGCGGCGAACGGGGCCGCGAAGAGCGGCGACGGGGCCGCTAGGGGTGGCTACGGGGCCGCGAAGGGAGGCAACGCGGCCGTGAAGGGGCCGCAAGGGGCCTAATGGGGCGGCGACGGGGCCTACAGGGGTGGCGACGAGGCCGCCAAGGGGCCGCGAGGGGCCTAGAGGGGCAGCGACGTGGCCTAGAGGGGCGGCGACGGGGCCGCGAAGGGGCCGCGAGGGGCCTAGAGGGGCGGCGACGGGGCCTAGAGGGGCGGCGACGGGGCCGCAAAGGACGGCGACGGGGCCGTAAGGGGTGGCGACGGGGCCGCTAAGGGTGGCGCGAGGGGCCTCTGGGAGGGCGCGACGTGAGGGCGGCCTACGGGGCGTGCCTCGGGCTGGAAAAAAAAGGTCGAGTTCAGTGGTGGGCCCTGAGAAGCGTTCCCATGAG